AGATGCCCTCATTGATTTTAACTATCTCAGATTGTTTTGATGGGAAAGGGCTGATTTGTTTTTAAGGCTTGTATTCATGCCACTGCAATTTCCTCAGACACGGGGACTGGGTTGATAGTGAGCTATGCTTGTCTCCTCTATCCTAAACTCCGCTACTTCTGTTCTCATGACGCTAGGGATATTAGAGTTAGACTGACTGGCTTCTGGGAGCGGAACTGAGCACTTTGCTAAAATGAATGTGTATGGTGCCTGCTGCGGGTCAGCATTTGCAAGAAGTGGCAGATCACATTGATGGAATTAGCCCCATTTATGAGCTTGGGGTCATGAAGCCCTTCCTGGTGCTTTTGGCCAGATGTGATCTTTTTCCTTTCTGATTTCAGCAGCAATGCAACACCACTGTCACCCTCGCTGACATTTTTGGATACCTAACCATGCAGTAGGCTATGTAATGGGTACCTTAGGGGCATAATCTCTTTGAATCCTCCCCACCATGGTGCCAGATGGAGCCTTCTGCAGGTAAAGATATTGAGGTGCAGAGAAATTCAGATCACCCAGCTGTAAAATGATAGGACTGGGATTTGAATCCAGGTGTGACTCAAGAACTACTATTCTTAATCTTCACTTTCTGTAGCTTCTAGTATGGCACTTGTGTATTGCTATTCGTATATTTGTCTTTTTACATTTTGTCAGAAAGTGAGCTGTATTATGGTATTTTCTAGTACAGTGTCTTGCCCATGGAAAGTACTTGATAAATAACTGTTGAACAGATAAATGAAGAAATGGAAACATAAATGAAAGAGTAAGTCAGTGAGCAGTTTGCCTGAATATTAACCTAACATTGGATTACTCAGTTATAATGATCAATGTTTTCTTACTCTTTCAGAATCAATTTTTCTTTAGTCATCAGATTTCTTCTAGATGTCATCTAAAATGTTTCTAAGTAAATGATCACAAATCATTGGCTATTGAATTTGAAAGGGATATAACAGGTGTCTGGCCCAGCCCTCATTTTCTTGGCAAAGACCATCCAGGTTACTGTCTAGAACATGAGGCCTGGAAGCCTTCCCCACCATTATTCTAGAGCAGAGTCTGAGGCAACCAGGGTGATTTCTATCTGTTTTCATGTGATATCTTCCAAACACTCCTTTGTCTAGATTTACAATTCTAATCGTATATATTTGATTATTTATATCATTTTCTTTGTGTTACTGCTTTCAGTTTCCTGGAGACATGGTTTTTATATCTTTGATGGGTTCAAAACCTCTCTAATTCCTATTTCAATGCATCTTTGTTATATTCCTGCATTTCTTTTAAACCTGTCCACAAGCCCCTATTGTTTCCCCCTTCTAACTTATTTTGCATTTGCCTTTATCCTATCTGGATCTTTCACATCAGTAAATTGCTGTATTTGTTAGTCTATTTACAGGATTTTCTTTAATATTAAGTAAAATGAAAAACATCCCCAAACCCTTCTCCCAGCTCTGAAAACCTCTTACTCAGCTATGTTGGCCCTTGTTTTTCCCCATCAGTTTCACCAGCCCCAAGTCCTCTGGTCAGCTGCTTGCATTGATTTTGTTGGTTCTGTTTTGTCTGTTGTGCCTTATTGTCCCTAGGTCCTCCAGACCTGTGGGACCACTCACTCCTTCATTATCCAAATAAAATACCTCTTCCATCTCCTGCAGTCCTATGCACCCGAGGAAAGCCTACATGCCCTCCTGGCATTTCTTTCTGAAGATGATTTGTTTTATAGCTACTTACCTGTCACTTGCTCCAAATCCCAACCTACTTCTCAATAACTCCAGTCTCCTACCAGCCCCTGACCCACTCTCAGGTTTCCATTTCCCCAAACTAGAGTTTTTCTGTCTAATTCCTGAGGCACACCTAAAGCAGAGCCACCATCCCTGAGCCTTCATTGTGATCATTTTCACTCTCCAACACATTCCGTCATCCACACAGCAGAGGACCTTCCCTTTCATAAATGTAATAGATTTATCTTGCTTTCCTAAACAAAAGAACATTTCTCCTCTGAGATTAATTCTGTGGCTTCCTTTGAATATGAAATGGTTACAGTCAGCAGGAGGTTTTTTTCTTTTTAATATCATTGTTTTTCCCTTCCTGATTCATTACCTTTTGGGTATTTTATGAAGCTAAAATGTGCCAGTGGAAGTGAATGTACCTTATAAATAGTAATATGCTATATGGATAAAAGAAACAAATATCATCCTATAGTTAGAAAAATACTGTCTGCATTTTTTTCCTTTGAAAAGAATAAGGACAATGGGTGGTGCCTGTGGCTCAGTGAGAAGGGCGCTGACTCCATATACCGAGAGTGGCAGTTTCGGACCCTGCTCCAGCCAAACTGCAACAAAAAAATATCTGCGTGTTGTGGCGGGCGCCTGTAGTCCCAGCTACTCGTGAGGCTGAGGCAAGAGAATTGCCTAAGCCCAAGAGCTGGAGATTGCTATGAGCTGTGACACCACAGCACTCTACCCAGGGCGACAAAATGAGACTCTGTCTCTTAAAAAAAAAAAAGAAAGAAAGAAAAGTATAAGGACAAGCACATAGAATGTTAAGTTTTGATTTTCTGATCAAATTCTTGTGTACTGAGACCTGAGGAAAATGGAGACATTAATGGATTTTTATTTACATAGAGCAAGAGAAGCAGCAAATGGCCTCTGGAGAGTAGGCACTGCAGGCAGTAGTCATACCCTTGGCCTTGGGTCTAAGGCTGTGGATCATTACAGGGGTGTCTGGAGGAGAGAAAGGAGCTTGGAGCCAAAGAGCAATTGCTGAGCCAAAGAGGAGGCCTTGGAAGATCCAGGGTTTGACCCTTTCGTGTTTCCAGCCAGTATGCCTGCCCCTCTGCAGAACTGATCCAGGTCCTGACTTCCACCTGCTGACCATCAGAACTCCCTCTTGGCCTTTGTCAAGTCTGCCCCCAACTACTGCCTGTGAAACTGTGGGTCAGGCTTCTGATGTGTGTCCCCTCCTGTGTTGTATCCAGGGACAGGGTGCCTTATCAGAGAGACTCCGGAGCTTCAGCATGCAGGACCTCACCACTATCAGGGGAGACGGCACCCCGGCTCCCTCAGGCCCCCCACCACCGGGGGCTGGGCGGGCCAGTGGCAAACACGGCCAGCCTAAGATGTCCAGGAGTGCTTCTGAGAGCGCTGGCAGCTCAGGTAGGTGTCACTTTGCTTCCCTTCTCTCCCCCCAGTTGGGCCTTGCTTCCACTGAGAGAGCCCTGGTCCACCATGTGGGATGAAACCTGGCCCTTGCCCAGGGACTTGCCAACCACAGGGACACCTGTCAGATCAGACCAAGCCAGGAAGCTGGCCTAGGGACTCTGATCAGGGCTAGGTCACCTGCAGCAAAATGTACTGCCTCTTCCCTCAGAGTGCCTGGGAAGTTGGGGCTGGATGAGTGGAAGTGCCTGGGCCACAGGAGCCTTCTTTATCCTCTTCCCCTCTGACCCTACTGTCCTAGGGTGCTGACCTGTTTTGAGCACCTGAGTGTCTCCTCCCTTCCACATGGGCTTACAATTGTCACAGACCCTCTTTCCTGTCTAAATATTTCCTGTCCTCTCTCTCACTCTGCTGTCTCCTCACATCAACCCTCACTCACCTTGTATACCCCCAGCCTCTGCATACCCAGGCCCATATTAGCTCTGAAGGCTGCTTCCTGTGGAGCCCAGACATCCCTTCCTCCAATGTCTAACTCTGATTGTCAAATGCCCAGCATGGGATTGCTGGGATTAAGATTGACCTGGGGATCTTGTTAAGCATTTAGAGTCCTGGCCATCCCCAGGGGCTTTGGGTAGTCTGGGGTAAGACTCAGACATGTGATACCATTGAGCTGCAGCCACATTTGGGACACCCAGTGTTGGAACCATCAGTTTGGGTTCCAGGTTCAAAGAAAGTAGGGGCTAAGAAGTAGGGGCTAAGAAGTTGGGTCAGGACTCATGGCAGCTCTCTGTGAATCTGTGGCCACAACATGTGCCTGGTGGCTGCCCTGCCCTTAAGGGTTCAAACACAGACATCCAGCTACCTGTGATTATGTACAGGTTCCGGCCTACTGGGACTGTCCCAGAAAGTGACAAAATATCTCCAAGTACATATATCATCTCCATCCTTGGTCAGCTCATTGGCTATGATCCCTGAATAAAAAGTATAACTTGGAAAAACAAGGGGTCCCAGTTCAGTGAGGCCCAGAAGGCAGAGCAAGAACCAGTGGGGTAAAGTTCCGGAGGGTTCACTGTATCTCATTTGTGACCTTGGCAAGCTGTTTGCCCTCTCCGTAGCTTAGGTTCCCTCCACCTGCACAAGGAATGACACCCATTGGTAAAGTTAATGTGAGGCTTCAAGTGAAGTAAGCCATGTAAAGGTGCTTAGGACCATGCTTGGCACCAATATGCAATAGCTGCTTGCGGTTACTGTTTTAATTATTTATCTCACCTTAAAGAACACTTTGTAGGCTGAGTGCAGTGGCTCAGACCTCTAATTCTAGCTCTCTGGGAGGCCGAGGGAGAAGGATTTCTTGAGGCCAGGAGTTTGAGACCAGCCTGAACAAGAGTGAGACACCATTTCTACCAAAAGTAGAAAAATTAGCTGGATGTGAGCACCTTAGTCCCAGCTACATGGGTGGCTGAGGTAGGAGGATTGCTCAAGCCTGGGAGTTTGAGGTTGCTGTGAGCTATGATGATGCCATTACACTCCAGTCCAGGTGACAGAGTAAGGCTCTGTCTCAAAAAAAAAAAAAGTGTCCAGGAGAGAAATGGGCCGCCTCATGAAGTAATGACATACCTGACACTGGAGAGGCGGAGAGCTCATGCACTGTGTGCCAAGGCCCCGGGGAACAGAATCCAAGTCTCCTGCCTAGACTTTCTCTTGTTCATTATTTAGGAAGCCTCAAAACTGGGAATGTGAGAATTTGAGGGAGGTCCAAACAACAGTGGAAGTGTCTTCTGGGCCTCAAGCATCTTCCCAGCCCAGCACCAGGCAGAAAGGAATTGGGATGATTTGTTTTGGTGCCAGCCTGCCACCCTTGATTCTCAGAGACAGTGACACCCCCTGCCACACCCCAGGGATGCAGTAGGGAGAGCGGTGGCAGTCACGGGGTGAGAGACCAAGCATGCTGCATCGTGCCCCAGCCCTCCTCACTGCAGTCCCTTGGCTTCAGCACCTGTGGTTTCAGGGGAAAGAGAAGGGAAGTGCTGACCCAGTGGGAAGGCCAGGGACAGTGTGGCATTCTGCTCAACTGTTGTCAGGCCTAAAATAAGAACCATCTCCAAAAGACAGGTGAGAGATGGCCCAGGGCCTAGGTGAAAGGCAGAGGCACATGAGTTAGAGTCACACAGGGCTGGTGTTCCCTTCCCAGCTCAGCCCCCAGTGTGGGCCTCAAATGCCAGGCCTGGTCAGGTCAGGTAGGGGAGGGGACTGGGCTCCGTCTTGGCTGAGTGACGCCAGGCATGTGCAGACACAGCACATGCAACACAGTGAAGCAGATGCCACTAAGCAGATGCCACTAAACATTTGCCACACTTCCTACCAGGCCAAGTTCAGCTTAAGAACTTTTCCGAGAACAATACCACACTAGTCACTACTAGAGGATTTGACCGTGGCACAGAAAACAGACCCAATTTTCTTCTGCTTTCTCCTTTGGAAGAAGAGCCAATAATCCCTAATCAGCCTGTGTCTCAGGGTTGTTAGTAAAGCAAACACTAACTAGTGTTAGTTAAGCAAACACTAATTAGAAGCTCTGGACAGTTCCAGCCTAGGCAAGAGGTGAAGACAGCCTGGGAGAGAGACATGGCTGCATCTGTGGAGTGCTCTGCAGCCACTGGAAGTGACAGATGAAACGTACACACAGGTGGAATGTGAAAATATGACGCCTAGTGAAGAAAATACAAAACAGGAGAATATATTATGTATCAATTCATGTAAAATGAATATATGCCCGTCATGCAGAATAACAACAGGAGGTTTGTAAGAACACACTTAAACACAGAGTGTGTAAGGCAGTAGTAGCCAATTAGGCCTTTGGCCAGATGTCCAGACAGGCGCACTCTGGGTTCTGAGGTCAGCCCGAGGAGGCTTCCTGGAGGACAAGCTGAGATGGAAGTCACAGACAGGAGGCAGCTTCAGGGGATGGGGAGAGTGATTGAAGTTATTTCCCAGAGGAAACTTTGACTCCATCCCTGGCCCTGCCTAGTGCTGCAGGATGCAGCCAGATGAGGGTATTTACCAGCACCTGAGAAGAAGCTGAACCTGAGATGATCCCCTCTTCCACCCTGGTGTCTCTACAGAGACCTGCCTTCCTGGGATCCCCGTACTATACACACTGGGATCCCTGCATCTCACTGGGGCCTCCTTGTTTGCCTGGGACTGGTTTCTGTCAAGTAGGGGTTATCACTGATGGTGCCCCACCCCATTCCCACAGTGTGTACCTGCTGCTCTACCTGCAGGACCCGGAAAGGTGAGTAAGCAGATGGCCTCTCTCCTGTGCTGGGCCGTCACCTCGGCAGGAGGTTCTAACCATGATCTGGTGCCTGACCTTGGGACTTCCTTTCAGCTGCATGGTCATGGGAGGGGCCAAGAGGTTAACTCCTTAAAACAGCAAATACATTCTCTTACAGTTTCTGTCAGACAGGAGTTTGAGAGCAGCTTAACTTGGTACTTCTGGCTCAGGGTCTCTCAGAGGTTGTAGTCAAGACGTTGGCCAGGCTGAGTCATTGGAAATCTCGACTGAGCTGGAGGATCCAGTTCCAGGATGGTCTTTTCATGGCTGTTGGCCTCAGTTTCTTACCACATGGACCTCTCGAAGGCTGCTTGAGTGTTCTTATAGTATGGCAGGTGGCTTGGTCCAGAGTATGAATCCGAGAGAGAGTAGGCAGGAAGCCACAGTACCTTTTATGATCTAGGCTTTGAAGCCATATCCGCCACTTCTGCCTTATTCTATGTGTTGGAAATGAGTCATCAAGACCAGCCCACACTCAAGGAAAGGAGAAGTAACCTCCACTTCTTGAAAGGAGGAGTATACAAAAAAATTGTGGAGATATTTTAAAACCACCACAGGGGCCAGGTGTGGTGTCTCACCTGTAATCTCCCCTGTGATTCCAGCACTCTGGGAGGCTGAGGCAGGAGGATCCCTTGAGCTCAGGAATTCAAGACCAGCCTGTGCAAGAGCAAGACTGTGACTCTACTAAAAATGGAAAAATTAGCCATGTGAGGTGGCTCACACCTGTAATCCCAGGTGTAAGCTGGGCTGAGAGCATGGTACTCTAATCTGGGGCAATAGATTGAGACTCTCTCTCAAAAAAAGAAAAAAAAATACCACAGGGTCATACTTCCTTGTGCTCTGAGTGATGATGAACATAGGCGCTCACCAAGGTCCTCTGAAATGACAAAGCCTTGCCATTTCAGAGGTTTCTGGTA